AGAGAGAGAGAGAGAGAGAGAGAGAGAGAGAGAGAGAGAGAGAGAGAGAGAGAGAGAGAACTTGGCTTTCATCATTGATTATTTCCACCTACGCACTTTATTCCTAGTAGTCTAGTTCTTTTGTATGCTTTGCTTACCTCCATATTCATTGGATTAGCTGTATTATTTCCACCATCTCCCTTTGCTTTGTACCTTTGTTCTCTCTCTCTCTTTCTTTGTCTCTCTTTTTCTGCCTTTCTCTCTCTCCTTCGGTTTCTCTCGATATGTATGTCTATATATGCATATACATATATATATATATATACATACATACATATATATTATATATATATAATATATATATATATATATATATATAATATATATATATATATAATATATATATTATATATAACATATATACATATATACATATATATATATATATATATATATATATATATATGAATACATATTTCGTTTCCTTTTCTCTTTTCCCTCCTTCCCCCTCTTTCTTCCTACTTTTTTATTCTGTCTCTCACTGATCTCTCTTTCACCCCAGCCCACCCCCCTCTCTCTTTTTATGCTTGGAGCATTGATCTCTTTCGTTCTATCAATATCGGACCCTTTCGTACCCTTCCCCCATCCTCCTCGTTCTAGTACTCCCTCCTCGCTCTTCTTCCTCCCACCACTTCCTTTCTTTTCTTTCGTTTTATAAAAATAAATTAATTTTTCTTAAGAAATATTCTTCTCCTTTTCCAGTTCTTTTACCTACCACCTTCACCTCATCCTTAACAACCTCCCCTCCTTATCCTACTCTCTTCCTTTTCATTTTACTCTCTTACTCACTTCCCTCCCCTTCTTAACGTACCCACCCTCCTCTCCTTTATTTCCTCTCCGCTCTTCCCCCATCCATATCCTCCTACTCTTCTCCCTTCTCATCCCACCCTCTTCTTCACCATCATACCCATTCATTTTCCTCATGCTCTCTTTCCTACTCTCTTCGTCTCCCTTCCTCTTTACCTCATACTCTCCACCTTCCTCTTCCTGCTCCCCCTCCAACCAACCCTGTACCTCCTTTACCGTATGGTACCTCCTATACCCTATACTCTCCACCCTCCTCTTCCTCCTTCTCCTCATCCCCACCTCTACCTCCTATACCCTATACTCTCCACCCTCCTCTTCCTCATCCCCACCTCAACCTCCTATACCCTATACGCTCCATCCTCCTTCTTCTCCTCCCCACCCTCTACCACCTCAACCTCCTATACCCTATACTCTCCACCCTCCTCTTCCTGCCCCCCATCCTACCCCTTCCTCCGCCTACTCTCCTCCCTCCTCCTCCTCTTCTCCTCCTGACCTATATTCCCGCGCGAGTCTCCCCCGCCGCCCCCGCTTAGTCGACGTAGGGATAGCCGCGTCTACAAATAGAATCGTTCATTCATTCATATTTACCCTACCCCGCCCACAAAGTCACGATATAAAAAAAGAGTAAAGCCTGTTTAAAAATAAGCATTGTGCATGCATCTCTCTCTAAATATATTCACACATATTTCTCTCTCTGTCTCTCGTGTGTCTTTCTTTCCTCGTATATCTATTTATCTATCTATAAATATCCCTCCCTCTCCCTCTCCCCCCCCTCTCTCTGTCTGACCGAGGTGTAGAAGTGACAAGTAAAACAAATGACCAGCAGTGCTTGCCAGGCCTTGCGCAGCAGGGTACGCGTCTCGAAGCAGCGTGAATCATAACAGCTTCAAACGCACTGTTGCCAGAATACCTCACCAACCATCTCGTGAGTCACAGCGTCTGACCCGCTATGTGACCTTCGTATGCTATGAAGGTCACGCTGAGGGGTTATATTTGCGTTTCTAGGAAATTCAATGAGTTCCTTTAGTTTATCTGAATGGAATAAGATATCCAATTATTCTCTGAATCCTATTATCATATTATTTTAACCTTCTCCCATCCAACCTAGCCATCTTTCCCTTTAAGTTGCACACACACACCACACACACATGTATATGCATAAATATGCACAGTGTGTGTGTGTGTGTGTGTGTGTGTGTGTGTGTGTGTGTGTGTGTGTGTGTGTGTGTGTGTGTGTGTGTGTGTGTGTGTGTGTGTGTGTGTGTGCGTGGTGGTGCGTGCGTGCGTGCGTGCGTGCGTGCGTGCGTGCGTGCGTGCGTGCGTATATATATATATATATATATATATATATATATATAATATATAATATATATATATATACATCAAGAGAGAGAGAGAGAGAGAGAGAGAGAGAGAGAGAGAGAGAGAGAGAGAGAGAGAGAGAGAGAGAGAGAGAGAGAGGAGGGGGAGGAGGGGCAGAGTCAGAGAAAGATTTTTATACGCTTCTCTTGTCTGTTTGCTTATATCAGTACGCAAGGGCTTAGCAAAGGTTCACATGTCAAAATTATACTTGCAGATTCAGATGGACACGTGTATCCATCCTCTGCTTTTTTCAACTCAAACGTCACGAATTCTCACAAATGCCAATCAGCGCGTTGCTCTGGTTTCTGTAAGCTATGGATGAAAACGGTACTCAAGAGTCTCTCTTTCTCTTTGTTCACACACACACACACATACAACTCTCTCTTTCTCTCTCTCTCTTTGTGGAGTCAGTAACATTTATATAATCTCACTGAGCGAAGATAGCTAGTGCAGGAAATAGATAAACTAGGAATTATCATGCTTTTTGGGACAGTTCTGATTCATCTAAAAAATGATAATGGAACTTGAAAGTCATTTCAGCAGTGAATCACATTTGAAGCTACAAATACTCCATTAAGAAAAGAAAAGACCTTGATAACAACTGTATAAAAGCGAGTCACACTGGTAAATTAATAATTCATAACTGCAGAATTGTCTACATGACATTAAACATTTATAAGCTCGTGACAACATATCCAATAATATGTAACCTGTAAGCAAGTGTGACATGGACGATGGAATAAAGACTAAAACAAAAATAAAATTAAGCGTCTCTGAAGCACAAAACAAACACAAACATGAACAAAAAGAAAATTTTCTGTACAGGTAGACTATCATTAATACGTATAACATGCATAGTTACTTAGCACTAAAGAAAATCTACGTCAGAAATAGTAACAGTAACCACTGCCCTAGAAAGAGTCACTATTATGTGAACAGAAAACCATAAAGAGAGTCCTGCTATGTACAGAAAGTGTTCAGAAACTTCACAATGTTAAGTGAACAGAGAGCTCTAATGCTTTAAGTGTACAGAGAACCCCACAGTAACAAAAGCAAATCCACGTGGCACAAGTGTATAATGACCTGAACAACAACAATAACAAAGCCACGTGGTATCATGTACTATGTTCACAGGCGGACCATGTGGACCTCCTGGTGGCGTCTTCCTCGTGAGGTTCCTAGGAAGGGACTCCGTGTAAGGGTGAGCGGGGGGGGGGGGGGGGGGGCGTGAATCACTCGAGGTCTGCTCACGCTCCCGGACCTTCTCAATGGCATAGCTTACATTCCGCGCCTGAGAACACGGACTTCCGGGGCTAAGAATGGGTCTTGGAGTATGCTAAAGAGCCGTCTTACCCCTTTCCATCGTCCACCACCGGTTCCACTTTCTCTTCGTAAACAGAGAAAGGAAGGATGATGAAAAAAATGAAGTCTGGGGAGACATAGCAAGGGTGGGAAGGGGAGGAGAGGAGGGCGGAGGCCTGGGTGGGGTGGGTATGAAGAAGCGCCGAGTAATGCACCATCTATCAACACTTAGTCAGCCCAGGGCGTGAGGGTCGCGAGCTTCGAGAATCTGCAGGGTTGCGGGAGCATCACTGACAAGGTCGCCCATCTATGATGTCATGGATGAAGTCACGGTTTAAGCCCCGCCTCAAGTGTGACGTTGCATCCGCTCCGCCTTCCTACTATGACGTGTCGGGTGTGTCACCATTGGGTGCCCCCAAACAATGACGTATTAGGGCGTCGACGTGATTGGCTGGGCGTTGCCGTAAAGTTAACCTGGACTGATGCCTATTTAAACCCGTTTGTGGCGTGATATGTATGGGCAATGATGTTGCGATGATTTACAAGTGAAAAAAGCAGCCCCATAAACGCATGCGTGGGCAGGATTCTTGGTCATAGCACTTGTGCTTGTTTCCCGCCATAAGTATGACGTCGCCACAACATGGCCGCCAAGGTGGTTCAAATTGCAGTCTCGATTTCGATTGGAGATACAGCTGAAGTTATGGATATTCTCTAGCGCTTGTAAAGCACCGGCATACTGGTGCGATAACTGTCTAAGAAAACGCGGGGTCAAAACAAGTTTTTATTCCAGTAAGATGGTGTGTTCTGGGCCCGTGCCAATCGGTGAGGTTGGTAGCTATTTTTGGAACAAACGTAATGTTGTCTTCATGACTCGAATGCAGTTGCAGATTAAAAGTCGGGCATCTTGCCAGGAGTTGTGTTGATCTGGCACGGAGTACAGGCAGTAATGACTATATTTACCAACAGTTATTTTCTTAGTTCGTGTATTTAGCCTCATGATTCACCTTTGTTCGCTAAGAATGTCACAGATACAAGTCATTAGCGCCCTTTGCCCTCCCTTGGCAGCCCCTCCGCCCTTGCCTCCTGCTGGAGGAGCTTGAGTGTTCTCCGAGCCTTAGCAACAGTGCAGAGCACCTCCATCATCCTCTTATGGTCAAGGAATAATACCTGGCCGCCATGACCATCGTGGGCACTCCACAGTAAAATAAGCGTTCACAACACGCTACTCTGTTCGTGTTTATCTTAAGAACTCTTTGACCTCTTTGTACTTGGGGATTCCTTGTAGATTTGCCGTTCCCACGGGAGACAAAAGATTTGCAGATGATGACGGGGTTTGGTTATGTCATGCACTTAAATGGTGTGTGATTCTTACTATGTCAAGATTATTTTGCATTAGTCAGTGTAGCAAGTGACAATATTTCTTTTTATATATTTGTTTCTCTTTAATTACATGCATGATTTCTTATCTAAGAAGTAATTTTCTATTAATG